TATTTTTAGGGTATGGTTCTGACAGCCATAATATGTACTCACAGCAGTAAAATCATGCACCTGCCTGCTTGTGGCTGGCCCCTTCAGTGCCCCCTCGTGGTCACCGGCAGGATCGCCTCCCTTTTCCTGCGGACGGCCTAGCAGTCTGCACAGTTCCCCACACCTGTGTGCTGTGTATACCTGCTCCTTGGCTGGCGGCTGCTTGGCTTGTTTCTGATGCTTCTGCTTTAGTTACATTTCTCCTATTTGTGCTTTCATAATTAATATCTCTTTTGCCAGGTACCGCTTGAATCTGAGTCAGGATGAAATAAAACAAGAAGTAGAGGAGTATCTTCCTTCCTTTTCCAAGTGGGCTAGAGCCTTCATGCACAAGAGTGTTTCTGCCGACTTCCCTCAGATGCAGCTCTCCCTGTAAGAAATGTGTGTTCTGTAGTGCTTGTATTTACAGGACAGGAACCTGTTCTCTGTTTGACTCATGGCTTTCCGAAGTCTGAACCATTACACTTAGCCTTTTAGTTTGCCTGTTTGACAAATAATAGTCCTTCACCACCTTTTTTTGTTTCATTTTGTGTTTTGAGTTAGGGCTTTGTTATATAGCCCAGGCTGGCCTTGAACTCGCTGCAGTTGTACCTCAGCCTTCTAAGTGCAGGGGTTACTGATTTGTGCCACCATGCTTGGTTCTTGGTATCTTGTATGACAAGAGAATCCAATGAATTAAAAGTTGTATTTTCATTATAAGAAATTATTCTAGCCGGGCACTGTGGCTCATGCCTGTAATCCCAGCACTTGGGAGGCTGAGGCAGGAGGATCATTGGGAGTTCAAGACCAGCCTGGGCTACAAAGTGAACTCAAGGCCAGCCTGAACTGCATAATGAGACCCTGTCTGAAAAAGTGAAAAACTTAATAAATAAAATTCAACTTTGATAAATATAATGTGTTAATTGCTAAAAACTTTATTTTCACTTGAGATATTTGTTAGGTTTAGTATTTTATTTTATTTTATTTTTTGCAGAACCAGGAATTGAACTCAGGCTCTTGCACTTGCCAGGCAAGTGCTTATTCCAATGAGCTATCTCCCTGGCCCCAGATTTAGTATTTTAAATGACTTTGAGTCTAAATATTTAAAATACTTTACCAGTAGAGCTCATAAATAAGAATTAGCAGGTGACTGACTTTTCTTCCATTCCCTTCTGCTAAATAACTGCTCTGAAAATGAGTAAATACTAGGTAACAGAGGATAAGAATTTTAAAAAGCTGTCTCCATCTTCTACACATATATATATTTTTTTCTTTGTTGTGTTCTTGATTAGTGATTACCAGTTATTAACTTTTTTTTTTTTTTTCAGTTATTCTGAACATTTTTTTTTTTTTTTTTTGCGGAGCCGGGGATTGAACTCAGGCCCTTGGGCTTGCCAGACTGAACTTCTGAACTTCTATTATAATATAAAAGACATGGGAATGCCTGGGAAGCACAGAGTCCTCAGTTTGATTCCCAATACCACTAATAATAATATAAAAGACAACAGTGAGTACTTAATGTTAAATATTGATCATCGCAGAGGTGGATTCACTTAATGATTACAAAATGAAGTTGAGTGGCCAGAAGTCCTCCAGAGTTATCATGTGTGGTATGCCGGGGAGGTGTTGTGCGGAGGAACTCACACCTCCTACATGGTTTGGAAAGACAGCTCCTCCTCACTAGCTTGAGCTGCCATCGCAGGAAGGAGCAGGTCCCTTGCTGGCAGCCTGTGTCCCCTCAGGCCACCGTCTGCCAGTGTATGTCGTAAGTGTGCGCCAGTTCCTGTCATGGGTTCAGCAGCCAAGTATCAGATCATTGGTTGAGCACAGAGCTGGCAGGTAGAGGCATGAGTTAAGCTTGCAGGAATGAACCCGAGGAGCAGAGGATAGAGGTTAAGGACTAAGCTCTGTGAGCCAGAGTCTGGGAAACAGCTTATGAAGCCAGAGCATCATCAGAATCACTGGAAGGCTCTGAGGGTCAGTGGCTGGGCCACAGCCTGGTGGAGCAGTGTGCAGCAGGGCTGAGTTCCACATTCAGGAGTTCCTAAGTGACCCTGCTGCCGCTGGCTCAGGACCATGCCTTGAGAAGCATTGGTCCATGGTTTCCCGTCCTTGCATTCCCCATAACAAGGGCCAGCCAATGGGTAGCGATCTGTGTTCTAATTGTTTCTGTATGTTTTTTGTAGGCCAAGTGATGGTAGTAACAGCAATTCAACGTGTAACATCGAAGTGATAAGTTCATTGGATATCGAAGAAAGCATTTGGTCCCCAAGGTTTGGCATGAAAGGCAAAATAGATGTTACAGTTGGTGTGAAAATACATCGAGGTTGTAAAGCAAGATATAAAATCATGCCACTGGAGCTTAAAACTGGCAAAGAATCCAATTCTATTGAACATCGTGGTCAGGTATAAACCTTACAGCAGTTGCCTGCCTGTTTCCTGTCACATGTGTGTCTGCATTGCAAGTGGTGGTGCAGTTCAGGGCATGCGTGTGTCTGAGCTTCACCTGTACCTTTCCATTTGTAGTATGTCGGAGTCCTCTGCTTCCCAGGATAAACTCCTTTATTAAAAAAAAAAATTATTATTATTATTATTTTTTACTTCTTTTATTGTTTCTTTTTTTTTTTTTTTTTTTTCCCAGAATCAGGGATTGAACTCAGGCCCTTGCGCTTGCCAGGGAAGCACTTATTCTACTGAGCCATCTCCCTGGCCCCTCCAGGATAAACTTCTTAGTAGATCATTTCCTAGCAAAGTAGTGCAGTAGTTGAACCTGTTAGCCACCCATCTAAGCAGATGCTGCCAAAATAGTTCCTTATTATGGGTGACGGGTAAAGCAAGCACAGTTGGGGATTCTTCCATACGTATTAGTATTTTAATTAAGTGTTCTCAAATCTTTTTAATTTAATTTAAACTTTTTTTCTGAGACAAGGTCTCAGACAGGGTCTCACCACTTAGGAAATGTTAGTTTGGATCCCCCACCTTTGCCTGCACCCCTGTACCTGGAGTGGAACTCAGGGTCTCATGCTTGCCAGGCAGGTACTGTGCCACCGCCACTGAGTTGTATCCCCAGTCCTGGATTGACCTTTGGTCTTCATGTGATCATGGTGATTTTATCTGAGATGAAATAATAGAATTGTTTTTTGCTAGAATGATAATTAAAGGTCTTTGTTTTGTTTTTGATTTTGTGTGTGTATATGTGTGGTATGGGGAAGTGAAACAAGGGCCATTGTATGGATTTGCCTCCCTCACCTTGATTGATTGATTGACAGGGTCTTGCTGACTAACCTGCCCTTGTAGTCTTTTTGCTAAGGCTCCCAGAGTGCTGGGATTACAGATGTGCATCTCCATGCCTGGCTT